GAGGAACCCAGGACAAACCGCACCAGCATATGGTCTCACAAGGGGTCTGAGGATCTTATCTCGGTACCTAATGGCAGTCAGGCTAGCTCTGGCGAGCACATGGAGGGCTGTGCAGCCCCCTAAAGAAATGCCACCCCACACCATTACCGACCCACTGCCAAACCAGTCATGCTGGAGGATGTTTCAGGCAGCAGAACGTTCTCCACAGCATCTCTAGACCCTGTCATATCTGTCACATGTACTCAGTGTGAAACTGTTTTCATCTGTGAAGAGCACAGGGCACCAGTGGCAAATTTGCCAATCTTGGTGTTCTCTGGCAAATGCCAAACGTCCTGCATGGTGTTGGGCTTTAAGCACAACCCCCACCTGTGGATGTCAGGCCCTCATACCACCCTCATGGAGTCTGTTTCTGACCGTTTGAGCAGCCACATGCACATTTGTGGCCCGCTGGAGGTCATTTTGCAGGGCTCTGGCAGTGCTCCTCCTGTCCCTCCTTGCACAAAGGCGGAGGTAGCAGTCCTGATGCTGGGTTGTTGCCCTCCTACGCCCTCCTCCACGTCTCCTGATGTACTGGCCTTTCTCCTGGTAGTGCCTCTATGCTCTGGACACTACGCTGACAGGCACAGCAAACCTTCTTGCCACAGCTCACATTGATGTGCCATCCTGGATGAGCTGCACTACCTGAGCCACTTGTCTGGGTTTTAGACTCCGTCTCATGCTACCACTAGAGTGAAAGCACCGCCAGCATTCAAAAGTGACCAAACCATCAGCCAGAAAGCATAGGAACTGAGAAGTGGTCTGTGGTCACCACGTGCAGACCCACTCCTTTATTGGGGATGTCTTGCTAACTGCCTCTGCTTTGCACCTGTTGTCTATTCCATTTGCACAACAGCATGTGAAATTGATTGTCAATCAGTGTTGCTACCTAAGTGGACAGTTTGATTTCACAGAAGTGTGATTGACTTCTAGTTACATTATGTTGTTTAAGTGTTCCCCTTATTTTTTTGAGCAGTGTACATCACAGTAGATTGTTGGATGTGTTCCTGGATGTGATACTCATTTCACAAAAGATTCTAAGTCTGTTGAAACTCACTATTAATGTTCTTTGATCGAGGAGCCATGTGGCCTGTTCCCTTGACGCTACTTCCTGCCGAAGTGCATTGTGGAGCGCTGCCTGGAGGGCTCTCTTGCTTTCCTCGACACAGTCTTCGCATTCCTTGTGAAACTCCTCAAAGCATTGGACGTGTGTTAGGAGTTTGGAGTCACCTAGTCTTGACTGGATGGACTTGAGGTTGTCTTTGCTGTGTCTCCACCATGCAAGAAGGGCATCTAGAACAACTAGCAAAGTGTGGAGTTTCTCGGGGGGCAGTTTGTGTTTTGGGGCATCACAGATCTTCTCAAGCTCCGCACATGAGTCGAGGTTGTGTAGTGAAGTCTGAAGACTTGGAGGCTAAATGTAGAAATATGCCTGTTAGTGTTGCTTGCTCCACAAGGTGGCAGTAGATGTTGCGTAGCGAAGTCTGGAGACTTGGAGGCTAAACGCAGAAATATGCCTGTTAGTGTTGCTTGCTCCACAAGGTGGCAGTAGAGGTTGCGTAGCGAAGTCTGAAGACTTGGAGGTTAAACGCAGAAATATGCCTGTTAGTGTAGCTTGCTCCACAAGGTGGCAGCAGAGGGTCTGGAAGACGCTGTTGCTACACCCACGTTAGGTTGCAGTTAATCTTGGAACCTTGAATTAAATTGATTAAATTGTCCACAATAGTTGCAAAAGGGATTATCATTGGATAAACACTCAGATTAAATTTGAGAAACTTTATATAATTTTTGTGAAACTGTGTAAAAAAGGTCATATAAGAATTTGCAAACACGTATTGGAAACTCTGGGAAATTTCTCCTTGAGCACCAGAAGTTGCTATGGGCTGCTTTAAGACTCAGAAAATCTTACAGAGTCCTGCTGAAATTCCCTTTCTGTAGTTCAGCCAATAGTGAGGAAAACTCCCCCAACCCCTCGAGGGTCAGTTTAGTGACCAATCAGGATTACAGATGTGGTCATGTGATATGGACTACGTTTCCCAGGATACCTTGACTACATTTACCATGATGCATTCCCTTAAGGGGACAGCTCACAATTGCTATCTAACCATCCAATTCTCATACACTGGCTGGACAGCACAATTAAGCTGTTAATCTATTTGTAAAAATAAATCCACTGCCCTCCATGACATTTAAGGAGATAGTCCAATATAAATTTCAATGAATTTATGCTTAAAAACCTATGCATAAAAATTGCAGAATACAATTTGAAATCACCTTATTGAAGTGTCTTTCTGCCAGGCAGCTGCTTTCAACTGTATCCATTACTGAGCCTCATAGCATGTTCTGTGGCACCTAGTGAGGTACATGGGTTACATTGTTGGATTCTGATTCAAAGTTAAATAAACTTAAATAAGTATCTAATCATGGGCATTAAAATAATGAGAGGTACCTGGCTTTAATTTTTATTTTAATAAATTTACAGAAGTTTCATTTGCTTGCTGGCGACTGCTTTGGAAGCATGCAAAGCTGTATAGGCAGAAAGAGAGAAGACTGTTGCCTTTTTTGTTTTGCATATATGAATCACCAGTTCCTGTTGGTTAATGTAAGAGTGAAAACAGAAAAGAGCAACAGTAAAAAGGGAACAGACACTCTTCTAACAGACACTCTTGAAACTTGGAAGCATTTTCTCACTTGATGCAGTTGACCAATCAAAAGTTTTGTATCAGTTGCCATTTCTAGATCAAATAGTAGGTCATCTCCAAAGGCAGATTCACATAAAACACAATGTAGTAGTACTCCAGTTGGGCAATGATCAGGACATGAGTTACTATCTTGATCCGGATAGGGTGGTAACTGCTGTGTTAGCCAAGCTGAGCAAAGACTACCCTGAATATGGTTTCCATGTGCTGTTTAAAATTCACAAGTCACAAACCAACTCTTTCAGGACAATTGTGACTCCATTCAAAGTAGATATGATAAGATACCCACGACTCTGTTTCTGTATGATTTAATCTGAGCTTGTTTTACCACCATTCAAATCCCAGTAGGTTTTAGGTACTTGTTTTATTCAGAACTTCAGTGGTGTCTTTGGTTCCGCTCAGGGTTGGGATGAATGACTGGATGTTGTGAACATATTGATGAAAACTCATCCTGAAGTGGCAAATGATCTTCCCCAGTACTTTCATTTGAATGTTAAATAATTTGAGGGAAAACACTGAATCCCGAGGAAGTCGTTCTAAGGAATTCAGCATCAAGGTTATTAAGTTAAGAGTGTAACCACCCTAAAACAATATCCCCAAGTCCGAACCTCTACAGGTGATGCAGAAGACAATGGGGTTGAATGCTACTGAAAGATCTACTAGAAGCAGTAAGACCACAGCCCCCCTCTTTGAGATCTTGATAGAGGTATTGACCAGAATGACTATTTCCTCTTTAATGGCTAAGTATTGTTTCTTTCAATTAGCCAACAAAAGTGCATAAACACAGCATTTTTCTTTCCCTTAAGAAATTGCAGTATGCCCTATTCTTATCTGTAGGCTGTTAAAGAAGGGCTTTTGCCCCTGTATTGTATATCAAGATATATATTTATATCCTTTGTGTAAGTTTATTATAACTATAGGATATAGATCCTCTCTCCAAAAATGCAACTCAAAACAAATTGAGAAAACTTTCTTGATGAGAGATTACAGCCAGGAGTTCTGTTTGCTGCAGAAGACTTAAGCCTTACATCGAAAGATAGCCTTAACCCTCTATCATGAGTGGAGTGGAATTCCTTTCCCTAAAGTGATTCTTTTATGGAAGAATCCATAAATGAAAGATTGCTTCTCCTAGATTATGCTAACAGATGATCATATAATTAGTTGAGTCAAAGTCCACTGATTTCATTTATACCAAAGCATTCCCCAGCAGAAATCTCTTTTCCCCATTCTTTATCTACTGTGGAAGATATTCTTAAACTTGTTTAGCTAGCCCCATGTCCCTGTAGTAGCTTCATTTCATCACTGTTTAATGACTTGGATCCAGACTTTCTATAAGTGGAATTTCATTCACAAAGCACTTTCCCTGGAGGATAGAGAACGTAATGTTTGTTTTGCTTTTGTTCTGGTTCTTGCACCTATCTGTGCTAAATGAGAAGCTTCTATAGAGGGTTGGGGAACCATGTTAAATGGAATTGTATGTAATGAAAGAGGAATAAATGAGAATTGCCTTTGTCCCTTTCTTTTATTCTTTATGCAAATAGAATTGGAGATGTCTTAGAGGAAAAACATATTGGAGGGAGCTTGATTTCAGAGTTTAACTTAAAGTATAGGCATTAATTTTGATATTCATTTGCCTGTTTATTCCTTCATCTTCTAGAAGGTTTCAGTGGTAGAAATTTATTCTGTTTTGGAGAGGGGGGAAAATAAACCTAATTGCAAATGTAAAAAAGCCAAACAGAATGAAATGGGCTATGTCCTTGCTGATCACGATTAACTCTATTTTATCAATTTCCAGTTTTCTTTTACATTGAGTGGCACTTCCAGTTTTTGATCACTTTTTTTAACAAAAAGATAAATCCTTAGACTTGATTAAGGCCTAAATCTACCACATGAATGATGCTAAAAGTTAACCTTTCTCCCAAGTATCTTTTTAAAAAAAGGTTCTTCAGCGTACATTCAGTTGATGAAAAATAGAGGAAAAACTCTGATGTGTAAGCCACTCTTGAACTGCTTTGTTTCTTTGAAAGTTTAGGTCTGCGTAACTGTAAGCTAATAAACCTGAACTATTACTGCCCTTTTGTGTTATGTTTTCTTATATGGAAAATACCAATTTGTTTATTATTTTAATTGGTTTGGGTTTTTAAAAATTCTTTGCTTTTACTTACCAAAAGTTTTTAATAATGAATTATTAATATTAATCTCTCTTTCTAGATGCTCTTGGTTTTTTTTTTCTCATAAAGTTTCTGATATCACTTTATTTTGCAGCTGGATCCCGGGTTTCATACACAAGTCAACATAGCCACCTGGGCTCAGAACTCAGGGCACTACAATCTCCAGAGCATCACATAGATCCTATTTATGAGGACAGAGTGTATCAGAAGCCCCCTATGAGGAGTCTCAGCCAGAGTCAGGGAGACCCTCTTCAACCAGCACATACAGGCACATATCGCACTAGCACAGGTAGGTGGAAATACAGGTTGTTTTGCTTCTTGCCTGGGTAGGTACGTTGCTTTAAATAGCTGTTACAAATAAAGTGAATCAATTCACATGTGGAAATTTTTGAAATTGCATCAATAATTCCAACAAAGTGGTCTATTTATCTCTATCTTTGCTGTCTAGCATTCTTTCCTTGATTGTTAATTTGCTGAAGGTGCATAGAACGTGACTTTGTCATGTGATTAGTAGATCATTTACAATGAGATTGTTTAATAAATGAAGAATGGCCAAATTAATGAGGCATTGAGCAATAAATTTTCCCCACTTCATATATATATACATATATGCATGTGCATCCATATATTAATTTTTTTCTCTCACTCCATGTAAAGTAGCAATGTATTACAGTCAAACTTACAGAACCATTGATTCATTTGTAATGTAGAAATGCATGATCATATATCAAACATGTTGATATACAGTTCTTCTTAATTGGGAAATGTTCACTTCAGTCATGCAAAATAACACTAAAAACCCCATAAAATTTTACACCTCTGTATGTAAAAAACAGTAACCAAATCAGTAATGGCAATTAATATGTGAAAGAATCTGACACTAACCAAAATTGTTTTTATATTAACATAAAGAGGATTAAAGTTAAACATTATTGTCCTGTTATTCATTTTTATTTTGTTTTCTTTATCACGTTGAAATTTGCTCTCAGTTCAAAGAAGAACTTTTGTAAAACTAGAAGGTTGATTTGATTCTACTAAATTCCAGTCTTCTCTGTGGGATTATATCTCTATGCTTTAATTTTTCTAGTGTTGGTCTTCATGGTTCCTACATATGGCAGTTCAGAAGGTGGATGCAATTAATGCCATTTCTATTTTAGGCAGGCTTGGATATCTTGGAAATTTGTTCCTGAAGATTGATAGTTTAAGTACAGTTTATAGTTCTTCCATGCTTTTCAATCTCATGTTTTTTCACAAAAACTTTAGGCGTGTCCCCCGAATTGTACCCTCAGTATCATACTGAGAATTAATATTCCAACTACCCCATTGTACAATATTTGACATCCATATTTTTAGAGTTTCTTATCAGCATGCAGTGAAATAGGATCTTTGTTGTTCTTGATTCCTAATGTTAGAGTAACCAGGATATTAGAGTCTTAATATCCTAAATATGTATCCCAAAAGTAAAAAGCACAATACTAGGAGAGGGGAAGCAAATTACAATATCCTGTGGAAAGTCAATAAACTTGTTATGAGCAGTAAGAAATTCATGAGTTTGGATTTTTTTAAACTAACATTTCATTTTATTTTATTTTTAGTTTAGGCAGATGTAGCAATTAAGACATTCTTCAGTCAGGGATATCATTGGGTCCCAGTACGTATCCAGGACTATTCCTGATAGTTGGAACAGCCTTTTAAGAAGGAATGGCTTGGGACCAGAGGCCAGATATCTAAATAAATCTCTCCTTCTGAATATACATATTTGTAAGTCAAAATCTTAAACCATTCTTAATGAAGTTGGAGAGGGGTGGAGCTAAAATAAAGGCCTCCAGTTATATTTCTAATGCAAAGCCAAGGATTTTAAATCCAACTTTTCTAAGAGAATATTATAGTTGATGCTGGATGTTCCTTTCTCTGTTTTCTTTTGGATTTTATTATACTTTTGTTCCCTAATGTGCATAGAGATTGTTATGGGAGAAATTAAAAGAATAATAACTTAATCTCATTAATGTTGTCTTTATACTTAAACCAGCAATTATCTTCAGTAATGATAAACTGTTATGGAGCAATTTATTTGTTATGCCTGAAATAACTTAATGTCTGGTTTCAGGCAAAAATGTATCATGTAATACAATCTTTATTATTCCAAAAACATAACTTGAAATGGGATAACTGATACTGCTTTTCATAGCATCCCCCTCAATTTTCTGCAAATTTGGTATTGCTGACAATAAAGAATGAATGTATTATGAGTGTCCTATATTGATGACTTAGCAGTTCAAACAGAAATATCTATTTAACTTCAGTATTATGGATTCTTCTATTGAGAAATTGATGGCTTAGTTCACATGTCTGATTTGTGTCAGTAAATAAAGATTAATAGCTGATTTTAATCTTTTAACAAAATTAAACTTACTTGGACCCAATATGATGATTTAGAATCTACTAAAGTTTATTTCTGCCTCAGCAAATCATTTGATGCGAAAAAGAGAGAAAGATATATGTAATACATAATTTCAAACTGGGATGTTTTTTGCACTGCTATATAATATATAATTAATGATATGCTATATGAAAAGACTATTAAACATTATCCAAGCAGACTTTTCAGTTTAAGTGGACAGTGATAATAATGAAGGAAAAGAAATCTACTATATTAGCTAAACTTTTCTATATTTCTGTTATCCATTTATATATATTGGTTACAGAAAATAACAGATATTCTATAGCAGGGGTCCCCAACCTCTGAGCCATGGCCCGCTAGTAACTCGTGAGCTATTTGCAACTGAGCCGTGGAAATGGCAGGTGAGCGCGTGCATGCACATCCCCACTTGCGCAAGCAGTGGGCAAGGATATGCACATGCATTTCATTTGCATAAGTAGCATGCGTGCGTGCACTACATTCAGTCAAATGGAGCTGCATACATACTTGCCAGCCGCTCATGCAGAACCATCCCCTCTCCTCCCCGCTGGTCAGCAAAGCCGGAAAGGTTAGGGAGCTCTGTTCTATAGGATTAATAAACTGCAACTCTGTTTCATTAATGATTGAAACTGCCCCTATGTTATGTGTAAAAAATCCTGATTTTTTTCTTGTTATATTCCAGTGTGGTATTCAATTAAGTAATAATTTGGTTCATTACTGCTCGAAGTATTCAGAAATAAATGCAGGCAAAACTTTTCCAGTATGCTGATTATAAAATGTTATCATTTATAAAATAAAGCTGGGAGACTCTTACTGTCTCTTTTAAAGTAGTTACCTAGTATGATGTTATATAGTGAATGAGCTAAACTTAATTTGATGCTCTGAGTTGTCACTTTTGAGAACTGGTGATTTGGAGTTGGCTTTTCAGTCAGAAAGATAAACTCCATTTGCTGAGCTTTCCCTATTCCTATTCCAGTTCCTAAATGCAAGGTTATCATTGGACTCTTTCTCCTCTTCTGTATATTTGGAAAGGGATTAATGGCAGGGAAGATAGTAGAGCCCTTAAGTATCAAAGTGAAATTTATCAAACTAAAATTTATCAAACTAAACCCTGTATCAAATGTATTACATTGAAAAAGGTTTTACAACAGTTTTTAGTCATAAATTAAAAACACATGTTGTAAATTTGTGTTTTCATGGCTTGTAGCAGGCAGGAGAAAAAAAAATGTGTCTCACTGATGCTCACCCCACTGCTTGGGCCTCGACACTCACACTCTCTCTGACTAAGTCCTGGGTTGTCTCCATGGCTATATCCCCAGGTGAAAGAGTTATACTAATGCAAGTAATGATTTTGTCATCAGTTGTTCTCCAGTTTTCTCCTTTTTAGATGTAATTTAAATGTATGCTACTAAGGTCAGAACCCCATATTGAAGTAAGGAAAAAAAAAGGATTAAGGTAATTAAGTAAGGATTTGTGAGAAGTGTTTGTTACATTAGGCCAGGGGTGTCCAACCTTGGCAACTTTAAGACTTGTGGACTTGAACTCCCAGAATTCCTCAGCCAGCTTTGCTGGCTGAGGAATTCTGGGAGCTGAAGTCCACAAGTCTTAAAGTTGCCAAGGTTGGACACCCCTGCATTAGGCTGACATCTATGTACCAGAGCCAGCAATCAATAATCTGTAGAGTCTAAGCAAACAGATAAAGTAGCAGCTTCTACCCTCTGGAATCAGGTTTTTCCCTAAACCCCCACACTTTCAAAGAGCCTTGAAGATGGCTCTCGGCTCAAACATTTGGTGATTGAAGCCCCTCTTTCTTTGTTCCCAGAAAGGTTTTGGCGTTTCTGCCTATTCCTTTATTGTTGGTTGATTGTTTCCTTCTTTTAAAATGTTTTATATGCATTTATATTATATACTAGATACATAACATATATAACATATGTATATATTTAAAAAGTATTATTACAGAATGGAAGCAGAGACATAACTTTGGATAGCAGTGTTAGTTTACCGCAGACAAATCAGAAGGAGTCCTTACAACTAATGTATTTTATTAAAAAGCATACATTTTAATAAGCTTTAAATTCTGTATCAATTTAACCACTCCATGCATCTCCTGTTTCTCTTCAGATCATGAAAATCTTTTGCCTTTTATTGATGAAGTTTACAGCTTACAAAAGCTTTTGCTTTTTAATAAAATGTGTTAGTTGAAACTGGACTATCAGACTCATTTCTTGTCAGCACACTGCAAAGAAATAAAGGATGCTTCATGATAGTAATCGGAATATTTCCTGCTAATTTCCCCCTAGGACTGGTTTTAATTGTCCTATAGCTTTTGGGATGTTGGCTTTGAATCCCTAGATCCAATTGCATGAAATTCATTTCTTCTACTAGGGGCCTCCAGAAAAAGCTACAAAAGAAAACAGAAATCCTTACTTCCTTTTTCCTGAATCCCCTGTCTCACATTCAGAATCCCCCATCTTCACATTCATAGGGAACTCAGGGAACATAGTCAGAGGATATTGAAAATGGCAGGCCACTGACTTAAGCGTGCCCAGGCTACTGGATCCAAGAATTTGACAAGACAAGTAGTCATGGTTAATTCTCTTTCTCCAAAACAAGGGCAGGGCAAGGAATTCTTAACAAGGGCAGGGCAAGGAATTCTTAATGTATGAACAGGTCTGTTCTGGACTTTGCAATCAGGGCAGCTGTTTTCCAGCACCTCTATAGTAGTAGCCAAAATTGTGAAAACCTTTTGGGAAAAGTGTATTTTTGAGTTTGATGGCTAACAGCACCACTTTTTGTGGAGTAGTACCATAAAATTATATATCAATGGAAAGATAATTGTATCAAGAATGTAATGCAACAGAGTTTGC